ACGTCAAATAATCATGCTACTTAGTACTATGGTCTAATGTATATCTTTTTACTTGTAAGTAAGAGTTATAGGTTAGATTATCGTAAAATACGAATTTAAACCACATTATTGCTAGTCCATTGTGAATATAAACTCAATTCTCTCATCTTTAATGTAAATAATTTCATTTGTCAAAAAAAAAAAAATCAAGTATTCTTATACTTTTTAATTTCAAATCACAAACACATTGCTCCAGAATCAATAAATAACTTTAAATCAAATAATTAAGCCACCCAAACGAAAGGGAAAGGGCAACTGAAAAGTACCAACAACCCTATTTTTTTTTTTTTAAGACCCCTAAAAGGGACATTGACCGTACTCAATCCAATTCTCGAGAAAACCACCCCCTTCAAAGTTCAAACTGCAAACATCGTCACGAACCCGGATTCTCTCCGGACTCAAAAAATTTGAGCTTAAGAATCAAATGAGTCGGGTTATTAAAATTTAATCTAACAACTACAATTATTATAACTTTTAAAGGGGTTTCTTGTTTGTAGTCGTTGGATCAAATTTCAATGATCTGGATTATTTGATCATCAGGCTCAGATTTTTTGGGTCCGGAAGGAATCCGGATCCCAACACCACACCCAATATACTATTCAACAATTGTTTTTTCTTTAGTTGTCTGAAAAATGAACGGTAAATATTAATTTTAAGTAATTGAACAATTGATCTTAAAAAAAATTAAATAATAAAAATTATTTAAAAAGTCGAACTACTTAGTAGTTTAAATTATCAAAAGCAACCCCTATTCAACACCTACAAACACATATTACACAACATTTAGCATATTGAGTTTACCATACTAGGTGGTAGTTTCAATTTTACAGTTTCGAAGTGGAAATTTGCTCACAACTCTAAGGACCAAAATCAGTATTATGTATGCCTTAAAATGAAGATCAAAATGTCAATGTGGTAATTTGGGACAGTAATGAAGCTTTAACATCGCTTTGTGTTCACATATGTGAGTTTGCTTACAAAATCATGTTAACTTGACTTTGAATAAATAAATAAATTACAGCTGATATCATTATGACATTAATTTAAATGTTCTTGAGTGAGAAAATCTTAGCTGTAACCGGTAATATTTGTGTATTTTAATGGTGCTAAAAAAAAAAGACTGTTAATGCTTTTGGCTAGGAATTAATAATGAGAAATAGAAAATATAATTTCAATGACATATAAGTCTTGTTTTTGTGAAGAAAAAAAAAATGAAATGTGTCATGTGAAGAAGTGAAAAAATCTAAATGCAAATGTTGCTAGCACTATTTACTTATCATGAATAATTATGTAAAGGTATGAGCATCATTTCTATTTTTTGACATATTATTCATTAATTTGTCGAAAAATGTGTATCTCACATTAAAATTAGTTATCTACCACATGAAAATTAGGTATCTAATCACGTAAATGATGTCGTTTTATCTTATATGTAACAATCGTGCATTCTAATTCAATATATACCTACCTATCTGATTACAAGTAACCAACCACCTAATGTTATTTAAAACATGTGGTTGTGGTTTATTACCATTTCATATCGTCACAATGACCTAGGTTTCCTTTCTAATAAGTTGTGAAGGGATCGATTGAGTCACGTGAAGTTTCCTGTCATAGTTTTTTGCTTGTAATTGCATGTTTTGTGCAATAAGGGTGCGTTTGGTACGCAGACGAGACGGAACGGGACGGGACGGGACGGGACGGAACGGGACGGGACAGGACGGAACGAAGGTGTAATTTTTGAAAAAGACATGGGGTATATTTGTCTTAAAATGGTAAAACATTGTGTTCCACAGACGTGGAACAAACCCGTTCCAGGGGGTGGAGGTGGGACGCAAAAACACCCAAAATCTGTCCCGTGGAACAACCCGTTCCACCCATTTTTGGCGCACCAAACGCGGGACGGAACGCCTCGTCCCGTTCCGTCCCGTCCCGTCCCACGTACCAAACGCACCCTAAAAGAACATAATTATTATTGATCTGCTATGAGTAAAAAAACTAAAAAAATGAAAAAGAAAACAAAAGGAAAAAGACCATGACTTAACTTGTTACAAAAGAAAATAAAATGAACAAAGTCAAATAATCATACAACTTAGTAATACGGTCTAATTATATTTCTTTTCATTAGTAAGTAAGATGTCTTAGGTTCAATTCTTGTCAAATAAGAATTTGAACCACATTATTACTATCTTATTGTGAGGTTAAACTCATTTTTCTCTCATTTAATGCAGATAATATCGTTTGTAAAAAAAAATCAAATAATCTTATACTTTTTAATTTCAAATCACAAACACATTGCTCCAAAATCAATAAATAACTTTAAATCAAATAAGCCACCCAAACGAAAGGGAAAGGACAACTGAAAAGTACCAACAACCCTAATATTTTTTTTTAAGACTCCAAAAAAGGACATAGACCGTACTCTAGAAAACCACACCCTTCAAAGTTCGAACTGCAAACAACACCACACCCAATATACTGTTCAACCAATTTTTCTACCTTTTTTAGTAGTTTGAAAAATGAACGGTAAATATTAATTTTAAGTAAGTGAATAATTAATTTAAAAAAATAATAATGAAAATTATTTAAAAAATCGAACTACTTGGTAGTTTAAATTATCAAAAGCAATCCCTATTCAACACCTTCAAATTATTTAGCATATTGATTTTACCATACTAGGTGGTAGTTTCAATTTTACAGTTTCGAAGTGGAATTTTGCTCACAACTCTAAGGACCAAAATCAGTATTATGTATGCCTTAAAATGAAGATCAAAATGTCAATGTGGTAATTTGGGACAGTAATGAAGCTTTAACATCGCTTTATGTTCACATATGTGAGTTTGCTCAATTGGTTACAAAATCCTGTTAACTTGACTTTGAATCTCCTTTTATCTTGAAATAGGGTTTGTTTGAAACTGCTTTTAAAATAACTAAAAACCCTATTTTGAGAAAATGTGATTTCACCAATAAAGTGATTTTTTGGGATTCACTTGTCATTTTACTAAGAAATGGTTTCAAAAGTATTTTCACCAAAAGCATTTTCAACCATTTAAAACCACTTTTAAACGAGTCTATAGTTTAAAGAGAAATTTTATTTAAACTCATCTAACCTATTTCTACACCCAACTTACTCTTTGCACCCATTTGATTTTTAACTAAACTATTAATATCTCTTTAAACTCAAATTTAATACCTAATATACCCTCATAAACCCAATTCAATATGTGGATTTATTTTTACACCCATTTGATTTTTAGAAGCTAAATTTGAATAATCATGCGCTTTATGGCGGTGCTGAGAAAGGCACTATTGGAACATGATATAAACGCTAGGATTATGGATTATTTGAACATTCCTGAGAATGAGTATGGTCTTGTGTTTACTGTGAGTAGAGGTTCTACATTTAAATTGTTGGCCGAATCATACCCCTTCCAAACAAACAAAAAATTGTTGACTATGTTTGATTACGAGAGCTAGTCTGTGAATTGGATGGTTTAGAGTGCCAGAGAGAGAAAGGTGCAAAGGTTTACAGTGCCTGGTTTAAGTGGCCAACCCTCAAACTGTGCTCAACTGATTTGAGAAAGCAAATTACGAACAAAAAGAAGAAGAAAAAGATGCTGCGACTAGTCTTTTTGTTTTTCCAGTTCAGGTTACTGGGTCCTTTCACACTGGACATTATTCATCGTTGGATGCTTTCATTGTTGTTTTAGCGGAAGGTAGGATGCCTTCGTTGTATTTGTTGAAAAAAATTACAGTAAATAACTTCTACTCTCTAAAAAATAGAAATCAAACAACAAAAAAATTCATAAATTGAGCCATACTTTGATTGGAGGATTCAAAAATTCAAAATCATCATTTATCAATATAAAAACTTATTTTTCTCTATGAGAGCTATTAGGGTTTTAGCCAGAATAAACGTAAGATAAACAAAGAGTAATCGTAGGGTTTAATTATAGTGTTTGAGTTTATTGATAAATTTGAGTTTTATTATTAATTTCATTTTGTACTTAATAATAATTATGCAATAGAGTAAAATAGATAATTAATATTTACAATTTAAATTGGGTATAAAAAGAGGTTAAATGAGTTTAAATAAAATTTCTCTAGTTTAAAATATCATTGAAAAACATCAGTCTATACCGAGAATGAGAAGATCAACTTACATAAGATTAATTCACCGTCATTTTGGCTCGGCTCAATAAATTATGTGAAATAAACTTACATATATTAATAAATTATTAAACTAAAATACTACGTAACAATAAACTCGTTTGTGTAAGTGCTTCTCAAGTATGAGACCCCACTCAAATTTTCTTTCCATGGCCGTTAATAATTGTCCAAAAAAAAAAGGGTCGTTAATAAAGCAGCAGCTGTAGATTTTTGGTCACGTGAGGCCCGTTCGACTGGGGCCCACAGATGTTAAACCCAAATAGGCCCCACCCTATTACCTTTTTCCTAAGCATCTTAATTCTAAAATCTCCGATCCACCAAAATGACACAACGCTGCGTTTGGCGGGATCCACCACCATCGAATAGTGAATGAACGGTGACGATGTTACATCAATCTTAAGTGGCCGCTTGGACCCACCAGCCGTTGATCACACCGCCCTCACCCCCACCCATTTGGCTCCTCAGTTGTTTACTTTTTAAGAAAATAAATAAAAAGAACTTAAAAACTTTAAATTTCGACGATAAAAAAAAAAATAATAATAATACTAAGATTGATATTTTAATATAAAAATATAATCTTTATTAAAATAAATAATACCAAAAATCTTTTATTAAAATTCCCTTATTTTTTTGCCTGTAGCATCAGCATCATCGACCACAACGATAATAAATGAGGGCACTTTCATAATTTGAAAAATTACTACAGCAGCTTTTCATAATAATTTAATTTGACAAAAATCAAACATAAAAACTCCAACTTAAAAAAATAAAAAATTATCACACCGTAGTACTAAATAATAAAAATAATCATTGTCTAAAAATATAAGTAAGATAATTATACAACAAAAAATAGAAAAAAATCTGTGCTGTAATATTGATAAGCAACAAGTAACAACATTAGTGTACACAAAGAGAGACCCGGCATCCCTTTTAATTAACCATCCATATGTTTTCAAAAAATTAAAAGAGAAAAAAAAAAAAACTGAGGGTGAAGGGGTAAAATCGTACTTTCGACCTATAAGCGCCACGAACAACAGCGGGGTTGCTACGGGATGCCCAACAGTAAGCACGATCAACGGTTAGGATTGGCTCTACCGAAATCCGCCAGCTTCCTAGACCGGTTCTTGCAGAACGACGCCGCTACGCGAATCTCGCCGGCGATCTCCGGCGGCAATCCCTTCTGGTTCCAGTGTCGGTTCGGGCTGGCTCGAACCAGCGGGCTCAGGCAAAACGCCAGACCCGATACGTTGTTCTTTCCCTGCCCGGCGCGTGCCCTCCGCGTCGACGACGGAGCCAGCGTCGGCGTCTTCTTCCATTCCGGCGTCGTCGCCGACGAATCACCGCTTCCCGACCGCGATCGATCGCAGTCTTCGAAGGGATCGGGAGTCAGGTCCGGTGACAATCCGCGAGGTCTCGGGCAACCGGAGGACTCGTCGGCGTAGAGATGTTTCGATCGATTCCGCGTTTTCCTAGCGAAGATCGAAGAGAACCACGAGGGCGACGAAGCCGACGACGACGACCTGGCCGGTACCGACGAATCCCTAGGATCCGACCAGGACTTATCGGATCTGGATCGGAAAAGACTCGATAAGAGCGAGAACCGCGTCTTGCTCTTCTTGCACGAGCCTTCAATGGTGGAGTTGGCGTTGGTATATGTAGGGCCCACCTGAGGAGTACTGTAGAATCGAATCCGGTGCTGTTGTTGATGGTGGTGGTGGTGGTGGTGGTGTTGCTGACTGTGATCTGGACGGTGGTGGTGGTAGTGGTGCCACGTGGAATCGTCCGATTTTCTTCGAGAGACGTAGGGGGACACGGAACGGGGGAAGCTAAGTGGCGGAGGGTTGGGGTCGGACTTGCGGTTGGGTTCATCAAGCGGCGCCGCGGCGGTGGTCCGGGAGTGGAGTCTGGAGAGCTGGGCCTGGGCCTGGGCCTGGATTTGGGCCTCGATGAGGGCGGCGAGGCGCTCCCGGAGACAGGAGGCGCAGACGCCGACGGTGCTGGTGAGGTCGGCGAGGTGCTTCTTGCACCTCATCTAAAACATTTACTCTGGAAACCCAACAAATCGAATTCTCAGTTGAAATGTGTATATATAAGAAGTGGGTATGCGGAGAAATTTGAGGGATTTTTATGGCATTTCAGAGGGAATAGGATCTTTGGTTTTCTGGGTGTAAGATTGAAAGGGATGGATCTTCTTCTTCTTCTTCTGGGGAACCCAAAGGCTTCTTCTGCACTGGCCAAAAGGGGGAGCTTTGTCTTCTACTTCTTTGTTTGGGTTTTTAGCGAGATAGAGAGAGAGAGAGAGAGAGAGAGTGGGTGGGTGGGAGTTTTTATTTGTGTGCGTGAGGTGGCCAAGCAAATGAGTATTTGGTATATTATTTAAATTTAGAGAGAGCAAAAAGAAAAAAAATCTAGAGGGAGAAAGGTACAGAGTCAAAGTAAAACATACGCTGAACCACAACAAGAAGCTCAGTGGTAATGATGCAAATTGCGTCTCTCTAATAAATAAATAAATACGAAGGTTTTGGATTCGATACTCCGAGTTAGTGATTCTGCTTGATTGTGATCATGAACAAATTGAAATTTCTCATAGCCTCTTTAGGTCACAAATAGATGAATTATCGTGATCTGCTACCGAATGTCCTGTTTTTCAAAACAAAAGAAAAAAGAAAAGAAAAAAAGAAAGTAAAACATGTGCTGGGTTTGGGGTCATAATTCATTTACTTGTGAGGGAGGGTGGGTGAAAGAAGACGTCCATGTTAGGAAATAAATTTGGAAGGTTGAAATGTGCATTTAAGACAAAACCTCTCTTAATCATAATTACCCAATTCAGATTTTGTTTAACTTATCTGGTAATCTACTGATTGTCAGTCAAAGCTATGCGTGTATTTTACTTGCATTAATAGTCGACGGTCGTTGATACACAGTAACAAATTTGAATTCTCAATTTTCATCCCTTCTAGTTTGACCTTTTACAATGCTTCCGTGGTTTTAGTAACTTTAATAACTGTCTAATTTTCATATTTTTTTTGTCAAAGGATAATATATTTTTCAAAAACTGTTACAATAGACTTATAAATTCATAATGTTACAAAATCATGTCATCTGAAATAGGTAGCCACAAATACATATCAAACTCATAACAAATTTATATCGTGATTGTTATTTATGTGAATCAACTATGAGACCTCTTTAAACTAAGTGAAAACAAATATAGTTAGATCAAAGATTAGTTATTCATTGCACATATAATTTGACAACCGAATGATCTTTAATATGGTCGTCATAAAGTGAAGAAAAATGGGCCTATGTGGCAAGTAAATCCTATCTCAATCTTTGTGTATGGATCTTGTAGTTGGGAGTTTGCATAAAACTATTGGTTGGGTTAGATTTACCACCTCTCCCTTGGTGGAGACGTTAATGCACCACTAATGAAAGCCCCGTTGTTTTTTTTTTCTTGTCAAGTCATAGATTTGTTAAATTTGCTACCGACGGGATATGAACCAAAGTCACTTTGGTGGAGACGTTAATGCACCACCAATGAAAACCCTTAGGTTTTTTTTTTCTTGTCAAACGATATATTTGTTATATTAAACATTAAATGAGTCATCGATGAGATTAGAACCAATACCGTCATGTAAGGGTTCAACTTCTTTCTATCACTATGATTAGTTGAGAATAATTCAGCTGCGAATTTGATGGGGCAAAATTTAAAATCTCCCTTCCTTTGTGGGGTAAAGCCAAACATATGGGATTTTAAGTACGATTTCAAATATTTAATTCATTTTTATTGCTAACGGTATTTTTATTGATATTGGTTAGCATTAATTTAATTTATTTAGTTCTTACGTACTATTGCAATAAGAAATGATTAATTCTTCCAAAAATATAGATGGATCTAAAGGTCATTTTCTTATTAAGAGTTATAAGTCATTTTAGTTTGACATTGGGCAAAATCTATCTCCAGTAAAAGAGCTATATCCTAGATAGCAATGGATTATATCCTAGTGAACATACATGGCCGGGTACAAGTCACATTCTGGCTGGCTACTTATAGCCCTAGAGCGAGCGGTATTTCGTTTTTCCGACAATATATTTTTGTGAGGTATACTTGAGCTTCATTTCTCTATCTAAATATATAACCGAGAATATGCATGAAAAAAATAATCTACATTAAGTAAAAAATATTTGCATGTGGTTTAATATTGTAATAAATAGTGTGTTCAGTTTCCACTCATGTGTCTTGAGTTCGAAATTTCCTCATTTCCTAACGTATTATAATATAATAGTTTTGAACTCTCTCGTTTCTTACAGCTTAATAATAATAAGTTAAAAAAATTAAATAAAGAATATTATCTTTTATTTTATTTTATTTTCTCATTTGCTTTTTCCTCATCTAAATTTAAAACTAAGACGCCATATTCCAAAAGAGTTGGTGATGAATAAATATAAAAAAGGAAAGAGGAAAAAGAAACAAGGAAAATAAAAGTGAGATGCCGCTTATCTTTTGATTGGGAGTTTTGAATGAGATGGAAGAATTTTAGAGGGAGAATGTATCCCCTTAATCCACTTTCTTTTAGTGTTGAAGACTCAACAATTTGAAAGGGAAAGAAAGAAAAACATGTTCTAGCGAATTTGTTGTACGTGTCGCACACCCAAATTACCTTTTATAAGAATATCTCATATGGAATTGTAATACAGATTAAAAAGGTGTAATGTCTGTTATAACGTATCTTCACTTAAATTTTTTCTCTCTGAGTCGGGGTGAACTTATTTCTCCACTTACAAATAACGCATCTTCACGGTAAAAACTTTATAATAAGAACAGTTCAGTTTCTTAATCTTCATTTGAAGATCATGCTCGCAAAAAACCATTGAAACATAAATTGTTTAGCGATTCAAGTATATCATGAATGGTTTATCATTAACATGTTACTTGAGACCTACACTTAATTCATTTGGTACCTAAGAATAACTATGTGGTCTTCAATTCGAATGAGTTTTTATAAGAACGATCTTCAAATGAAGACTAAAGTTTCAATACAAGAGGATACTTGCGCTTGGGCTTGAATTGAACGATTTGTGGTCTATGTTTTGGCCACCCAACTTCGGATGTGTTTGACCTACTTGCGTGCATATGTATGGAGACTCAACTTGCATTTTAACGTGCACTGGATCGTTTTGTCAATGGTACATGGTCAGAGATATTGATCATATGTCTTACCTACATACCACACCGTCGGCAGGCAAGGTTTTTATACAAGTTCAAAGTCTTTGGTTGTGAACAACAACAAATGGTCTAGTGGTAAGAGAGATGACTGCGGCTTCTAATACCAAAAAAATATGAGAGGTCTCTGGTTCGATGCTTCGAGTTGATGAGTCTGCTTGATTGCGGTCATGGACAAAATGAAATTCCTATAGTTTCTCTGAACTTAAAAGGAATAGATAATCATGCTATGCTCGCCACCAATTATTATCTTTTTCAAAAAAAAAAAAAAAAAGGTCTGATTGTGGTAAATACCACCCACCTAAAACTGAACCTAAACCTAAACGTGTCCTTACGAGCTTTCGAAACTTCCATCACACTTCTCATATCAAGTTTTAATACTTTTGTACCCAAAGACTTTTTCAGTGTGTCGATCCCTGGCCGCTGCCGTATTTTTCTTATTTGTATTGTTTATTTATTCAAATTTTATAATCTATTGTCTTGTCTTGTTTAAATAAGTGAATTAAAAGCAAAAATAATAATCACTTTAAGTTTTATATTCTATTGCCTTGGTAGATCAAATTGTTTTTTCTCTTTAACTCAATGCGTTCGAGGTTTAAACGTTCGTCTTAGTGCAACTTAAAATTGTATTACAACCTGAAAGGCTGAAAACAAACAACTCTAAGGGAAAGAAGATAGTTGGTTTGCTTCGTTCTCTACTTAGTATATTTCTTTAGCGGTCGTAGACCTACTTAAGTAGTTAATGTAAATTACGGTTCTTCGCTCTACCTTTGAAATGCATTCTGTGTAATAATAAGAAAATAATCACCTAATTATATCAAACATTACGTAGTAAAAAATTACGGTAGATCTCGATAAAAAGAACTTTTCCGATAATAAATTTAATGATCTACTGAGTAAATAATTAGGTCAAAATTTAACAATTGTTATACTTTTTTGTCCCATTTAACGTTAGATTTTGAGTACATACCCCACCTGGATTAGTAGATCTCATTAATGTGAATTTAGTTAAGGTATATAGAAGAAAGCAAGGAAGTGTATCCCCGTACAACCTTTTTCTTTAAGTATAAAATCATTGGTATTTTTGTTGTTTAGCCGATTGAGCAAGACCTAATCATGATTAAGTAAGAACAAGTAGACACAAATTTGAAGTGTCGCCATCAAATTATATCGGATATTATAAATTATAAAAGACGACAATTCAATTATGTCACCATATATGACTTGTCTATTTTTTCCCCGCATATATTTAAAACTAATACCATTTTATATGCAGGAAAAATATTATTTAACTTCGATTTTCTACCCCTTATAATCAAATCGTTCATCTTTTAGTCATTTGTATATCGTCATGATCATTATCGTAATTAACTAATTGAAATAGTATTGTAATTGTCTTTTACTCAATAGCAGTTAAATGACTATATGCTTGGTGATTTGGTTCCTTCAATTTTTGACTTGAGATTACAAAAATATTTTCGACTGTAAGATTAGGTGCTCAATTTTTTCCCTTGAAGGAGAGAGAAATGAATACCTATGAGTAAATTGACGATGATTATAGATAATTCCAATTACGAAAATACTTGTTTCTCCACTTTATGGGTTCAAATTATAAAAGTATACTATAAGTATACGTTAATCACAAGGGTAACAAAATTGTTTGTGTGTTGTCAACTATGGAACCATTTCATTAAAGGATTATCACTTTCAATTTATATGTAACTATAGGATTATCAACGGGAGACTTTAGATGCGGTTTTTAGTTATGAATATTCTTTATTGAAACCTTGTTGGTTTTTAATTTTTATCGAGGTCCTTGAAATTAATGTGATAATTTATTTCTATGTACATTACTATATTTTTTAAATTAAAAATTAGAAATTTTAGTTGTTTATATAAATGAGATTTTAAATTTAAAAAAACCATAATTTGTGGGATTAAAAATATTAAAAAATAAATATACTATTGTGTGTGTGTGTGTATATAAACATGGGTACATTCATCAAAATTAACCAAAACATTTATTGTATCAAAACATGGGTAAATTCTTCAAAATCACAAAAAAGAAAAAAAAGAAAAAGAAGAAGAAGATATTAGGCTTAATAACATT